TAATTAAACTAATAAAATTGTTAAAATTGTGATATTACAAAACTATTATTGCAAAAACTATTTTTGCAAGACAAGATTTCAAGGTCATCTCTAGTGTTCTGACCTGGGTAGGTGCCACTCGGGTTACCCACGGGTGGAGGTTGAGTTATGATCACCCGTGGGTCAACCCACGGAAGAATTTCTTTTTTTCTCAATCACTGCGAGCATTATAACATACAAGAAGAGAGGAGTAGAGTTTATACTAGGGTAACCCAGGTTAGATATTTATGATTTATTTTAGAATGTGAATATGTGCATTACAGCTGTCAACTGATAAGAACTGGCCGATAATTATTCGGCCGGGTTTTGAATTTGGTGTCATTAGCATTACTGTAATGCTGAAAATTCCAATAATACCTAATTCAAAAATTTATCGAATTCGGCCGAATAATCATTGGCCAATTTTTATCAGTTGTTCCAGAATCTGAGAACAGCGTAAGCTTAGAAGTGCTTTGCAGAATGAAACCAAGATAATAATACTGTAGTCTGAACTACTGCTTAGAATTAACCATGGCTCAAATTATTGACGCATATCAAATTTTAGACATTAGAAATCATGTTCCAGTCATGACTTTAATCCACATCCACATCACAATACAGTTCGAGCCGGGACATCAAGCAGATAACAACTTTAATTAAGCTACCCAAGTTCATGGATATTTACTATATATTTATATTTAGTACGTGAGTATAAAGAATATACTGTATATTTCTATTATCTTGGTATCTAATTGAGATATCACGTTCATGAATATTCACAAATCAATTGATTTATTCTATTCGCATTTAGTGTATGAGCATAAAGAATTCATTAATCTAAATATTCACATTTATGAATATTTATTATTTAATTTACTATTTAATTTTATCAGTCGCATTAATTTAGCACATTAATCTAAGTATTTAAATAAGCTACTCAACCTCATGAACTCTACAATTTATTCTTGTTAATTAATTGTTGAGTAAAAAAATTATATTTAAGTGCCACATGAATAAATCTAATTTAACTAATGATTACGTGGCATAAATCTCTTTGCAGAATTTCTTTTACCACCAGGGTGATCCTGATGTTCCACCCGCGGGTGACCCGTTGCTTTTACCACCCGGGTGACCCGGGTAGTACCCTAGCCATGTCAAAAAAAAAGTGTCGCTAAAATGAGATTCTACTTGAACATCAAATGTGATTTTTTTTAAACTTTGAGCGAAGTTATCTCGATAACCACCTATCTAAAATCAATGAATTTTTTTTAATTTTAATTTTACAGTTAAATAGAATTAAAATAAATTTTTTTTTTTTTTTACCAATTTTAGATAGGTGGTTGTAGAGATATCTTCGCTCAAAGTTTGGAAAAAATTTTTCCGCGATCGATATCTAAGTTTTTTCCCTAAACTTTTAGCGAAAATATCTCAACAACCACCTATTTAAAATTAATAAAAAATTTTTTATTTCAATTATACAGACACATAAAATCAGAATAACAAAATTTCATCGATTTAGCTAGATGTTTGTCGAGATATCTTCTCTCAAAATTTGAAAAAAAACTTAGATAACTATCAAAACAGAAGCTGCGGCAAGCTTTAAGTGAAAAATATCTCGACAACCACCTATCTAAAATCGATGAAATTTTTTTTATTTTAATTCTATTTAACTGTAAAATTAAAAAAAAAATCCATTGATTTTAGATAGGTAGTTATCGAGATAACTTCGCTCAAAGTTTAAAAAAAAAATTACATTTGGATTATTGATTTCGCCCAATCAGAATGTTGATGTTCAAGTAGGATCTTATTTTAGCGACACTTTTTTTTGACATGGCTAGGGACTATGACTCGGGTGACCCGGGTTGGGATTTTTGTGACGGGTCGGAACACTAGTTATCGCGGAAAAATTTATTCACGTTGAAATATCACTGTTCTGTGAATCCAGAGGAAAATATTTTGTGATTATGCCTGTTGCTAAATTTTATAACATATATATTGGTATCAGATAGTATCAAGAGTAATTTCCTGTACAATTTTTTCTAAGCGCACTGTGCCAATTGCGTCCGTTGTTATCAATTTCTAACAAAAACCATGGGACTTAACAAAATTGTCAAAAATATAAATAATTAGTTCATTGAAATTATTTTTAAATAATGCTAATGCTAATAAGTTATTCGATCGATTCAATCGATTCACATGATACAGTTAACAAATAATTTTTCAATTTATTTATAATATATGATGCAATGATATACATTATATTTGTTCATGTATCATGCTAGTAACGTAAATTTAATTATACGCTATGAAGTTAATAGTAAAAATAGTAACGATAATAAAATCGATGTTATTCAAGGAAACTAACCATATAAAAAATAACCAAACTTTTCTCACCATAAAAATTCCATTGTGTCATGTGCAATTATGAGCCAGAAGTATGATAATATAGGCTAGAATCTAATATAGCTTGAATAATCCGATTTACAATAAAGTTTACCATTAAGATGGTGCCAATCATATCGATATCGATGATATCAATTTAAGGTACGTCGTACGTAAGCCAATTTAAGCAAATGGCTAAATCATTATCACAAGGGTCTACCTTATAATTCTGGTTATGAATTCGATCTATATATATGAACTATATACATAAAAATACTAACCTTCACACATTCTGTCAATTTTTGTTTCATATTTTATGACGATTGTCTATATAAAACAAGACATACAATGCTTAACCTTTTTAAGTTGGGATAAATGCATAGTTCTTTTTTTCATGTTAGTCATTTAAATTGCATCCTACCCTAGCGCAATCGATGGGACCTTCTAGAATAGTATAATCCAATCCATTCAAAAAGTTAGATTGATCAAATAACTTAGGATCAAATAACTTGGTTAAATTAATTTTAATTTATATGAAAAGTTTCGAATATACCAATACGTTTTCTTTTTAAAAGAATCGTCTTTATAAATATTGAAAGCAATGTTGAAAATTTTAGACGTTTCAAAAATTATAGCTTTCGAAATTGAATTAGAACTATGACTTGGCTTGCCAATGGTAGATACGCATTATAAGTTATTTGCTGCCAAAATCAGATCCGTACAAATCTCAATAATATGAATCAGTTTCATTAAAAACGAACCGTAGCATTATTTAATAAATTTCTTTCTTTCAGATCATTAATTATAGACCGAATCTTGCGGTCACATGATCTAAAACCGTTGTCAATCAAAAATATGTATGATGACAGCAAATAAATTTAGGTTTCATTGGGCCATTGTAACGGTAATGCGTACTAATACTATTTAGGTACTAATACTATTTAGGGTGCGGCAATTCGGATTTCTAGTCATCCAAATTGAGATTTGTAATTTGTGGCAAACTTATTGAAATTATGGAAAATGTGTTATTGGAAATAGATCTATGTGTAAACATGTGATGATTCTTGTTTGCTTGAGGTTTTCGGATTTCACGTGCCACTTTGTGGCTGTCGAATCATGAGTACTTTAGATTAAATGTCACCACGCATACACACATACGTACGTACGTACGTACGTATGCGCATACGTATGCGCATATGCGGTTGTCATTTGTGATATGAGGCAAACCTTTTTCCTATCTTTTGTATCCTTTATACTTATTATCGTTCGTTTAAGCACGCGCATTTATATTGTACAAACCATAAGTTGGTCCGATACGACAAGTCCGAAATAAAATTACGATTTTTGGCCAAAGATTTTCTATGCATTCTATTCTCTTTATAGTATTACGTACTTATGTACGTACGCACGTACATACGTATATCGATGCGTATAAATTTCTTAATTGCCTTAAGAAATAAATTCATTTTTGACACATAATTGGTTTTCAAATGTTAGTCATCAAATAAATTATAAATAGAATACTCGGGACAAAACGAGACAAGTCAGCTTTCGGATTATTTCGATTGTTGGTACGTATATGCTATCTACATATCCTGTATAATGTGTAATTTGTATTTCACGCTGTACGTACAGTACAATTTAGCACCTGTACTATTTACCTGTACTATTTACCTGTACTATTTACTTTGCATTTTTAATTTTTTATTTGTGATGCATTTATTAATATTGTGTACGTCATTCGTGATATATAGCAAAAATAATTAGCCATAAAGAGAATTCGTCCTTGTATGTATACATAGTATATCAAGATGCATATATATATAGTATTCCTAACAATATTTTCAATATGGTGCATCATTAATTCCTTTGTTTTATTTTACAATATTTATTCATTTCTTTTCTTTAGTGTCACTCATGCTATTATCTTCGTGCTCCTTTATTCTGTTATCTAAATTATTAAAAACCAACTGTTGTTAACCTTATGCTTTCACAAAATGGTTCACACATAAATAATAGATACATAAGTACGTACATATTTAATATAATTTAAATTACAACTCAAAGACTTGAGGATCATCTTCACTAGCCTGAATTTGCTAAACGTACGTTTTGCATACGTATTTGCTAATTTGTACCTAGTGCATGCCTCACGCTAAACAATTAAAAAAGATTAAGGTAACATTAATTTTGATATGGCTTTTATTAACTGAGTTTACTCCGATACGTAATTGGTGTAAATATAGTTGTCCGCGTTTATACTTATGTACACACATAATTGACATTTCTATGTATGTTTCATATGCATTTGGCAAGTCACAAGCCACTAAATCAAAGGCCAATTACTTCCCAGATTGGTAATGCTCTTTAAGGTGGAACGTTTCAACCTTTTCCCGACTTAATAACATCCCGCCTTTTTTTTATACTTTGTCTCCTATTGATCATAACTTTAACTCTCTTCCCCCCCCCCTCGATTATAAAAAAAAAAAAAAATCTATTATTATCAATTATACTTATATATATTTTTTTTCGGAGCAATCTTCTTTTTTTTTTTCTTTTTTTTTTATTATTTTTATCGTTTTTATTATTGTAGTTAGGAAATGCCTTCAAAAAAAACAACTTCTAAAGAAAATCTTTCCCAGCAACAAATTTCAATCAATGTTGGCCGAGATGATGGTTTGACGTCAAACGACAACAATGTATCTTCTGCTGGACAGGATGTGACCTCAACAAATAGCATAAATAATATGATAAATTCTGATACGAATAAAACTATCATAATAGGGCAGGATACCCCTAATAAAATTCGTAGTAATGATGAAAAATCGGAGAAATCTGAGAAATCTGAGAAATCCTCGGTAAAAACCGCGTCTCGCTCTAAATCAAATATTACTCAATCTTCAAATAAGTCGAATTCGACTTCGGCTAATACAAAACAAGTTAGCTCTACAAAAGAAAAACAAAAACCAAATCCAATTATTACTACTATTCGTGCAAAATCTGATTCTGACAAGAAAAAAGTTACGCCTACTCCTAAAACTAAGAATGTAAATTCTCGAAAACAAAATAATGAAGTAATCATAGACGATGATTCTTCTGAAACTGATAATAATTCGTCAAATAAAAAACGTTCGATACCGCCGAAATTGAACCTTGCTTTCAAAAATCGTCCTATTGATCCTCCAAAACAGTCTCCTTTAAGATCTACCATTACTTCTGATTCATTGGCAAAACCTCCTCTTATATCTCCTAAAATAATGGAATTACGTCGCTCTGAATCTTTTACTTCAAAGCCTAATAATAATACTGATGAGAATACTAACTCTATCACCGAAAATCCTAAAAAAAAATCCACAAAACAACCAACTTTCTCTTCTAAAGTCCGCCGTGGCTCCACTGTAAGAACTCAAGCTAAAAAGACTACTTCTGCTTTGGGCGTCTTACCTAAAGGTGAACTTAATCAAGAATTACTTGCAAGATTGGAAGAGCGAAATTCTCAACTGCCTCCGCAGGTATAAATCAATATTTAATATCTTATTTTCATATCTTAGTTTTTATATCTTAGTTTTTATATCTTAGTTTTTATATCTTAATTTCATATCTTAGTTTTTATATCTTAATTTCATATCTTAGTTTTTATATCTTATTTTCTTAGTTTTTATATTTTATATCTTAGTTTTATATCTTATTTTATATCTTATTTATATATATATATTGTATTTTATATCTTATTTTATATCTTATTTTTTATATCTTATATTTATATACTATATATTCTTTCTATATATACGTTCTTTCTTTCTATATGTATTCTTTCTATATATACATTCTTTTTTTATATATGTATTCTTTCTATATATACGTTCTTTTTTTATATATGTATTCTTTCTATATGTATTCTTTCTATATATTCTTTCTTTATATTCTTTCGATTAATTCTAACATTATTTCATTATTTTATTCCTTGTTTTTTTTTTTTTTTTAGGATTCTACTGAATTTCTTCTTGCTCGTCTTGAACGTCAAAATGAAATGTTGGATAACGATCCTAAATCAGTTTGCATTAAATATAATGTCCTTCAAGCCGATTTGGAAACTGTTCAATCCCTTATCAATAATAATATGAATTTATCTGTAAAGGATGCTTCAAATGAAATAATTCGTAATTTTGAAAATGAAAACCTTTCTGATATAGTTGATTTGGATTTTTGGACTGCTTTAATTCAAGATTATACTTCTGTGGCTGCAAAACTTCCTCATCTTCTTTCTGCTAAATTACAACAAGGTTTACCTTCAAAATTAAGAGGTTTAATTTGGCAATCAATGTCTCAAGCTTCTTCAACTTATCTCGAAACAATGTATTCTCAACTTTTATCGGAATCTTCTCCTTATGATAAGATAATTCAACGTGATTTAGCTAGAACTTTTCCTACTATAGAAATGTTTAAGGAGGAAAATGGCGAAGGTCAAACTATGCTCTGGAATGTATTAAAGGCTTATAGTCTTTATGATCCTTTGGTGGGATATTGTCAAGGTCTCGGTTTTTTGGTCGGTCCATTGCTTATGAATGTAAGTTTACTTTTATATGCTAGTTATACGCTAGTTATTTATATGCTAGTTATACGCTAGTTATTTATATGCTAGTTATATGCTAGTTATTTATATGCTAGTTATGATATGCTAGTTATATGCTAGTTATATTCTAGTTATTTATATGCTAGTTATGATATGCTAGTTATATTCTAGTTATTTATATGCTAGTTATATTCTAGTTATTTATATGCTAGTTATATGCTAGTTATTTATATGCTAGCTCATTGTCATTTATACTAAACTATTATTAAACTATCATTTATTTTTATCAGATGAATGAAGTTCAAGCTTTCTGTGTTTTCGTTAGGTAATACTTATCCATTGTCAACTTTGTTCTACATATACTGTTGTATTTATTTGTCTAATCACATATATATATATTTTATACTTAACGTGTAGATTGATGGAAACATATGATATGCGAACAATGTTTACACTTAATATGGAAGGGCTTCAACTTAGACATTACCAATTCTCAGCTCTTCTCTCGCAAATTCTTCCTGATATTCATGCTCATTTCCTTGAATATGGGGTTAATGTAGCAATGTTTGCTTCTCAATGGTTCTTATCCCTTTTTGCCTACACATATCCCTTACCACTTGTCTTAAGGATCTATGATATCGTGTTTGCTGAAGGTGCTCCAGAAACAATCATGCGTGTTGCCGTTGCTCTTTTACAAAAGAATGAAGCTAAATTACTTGAACTTGAAGAATTTGAAGATTTATTAGATTTTCTTACTACAAGCCTTTACGATTCTTATAATAATGAACCTACTGGCTTAATACGTGATGCTATGGCTTTAAGTTCTGTAATTACAAAAGCAAAATTGGATCAACTCTCCGAGATTTATGTTAAAGAATTGGAAGATCAAAAGAAGAGAGCTGATGAATTAGTTGCCGTTAGGTTCAATGGAAGATTTGGTAGAAATAAAAAAGAAAAGAAAAGTCGTGAGAAACGTGATAAACCTAAACGTTGGTCTTTCGGTTCCCTTCCAAGTTCAAAGGATTCTTCAAAAGATTCTTCTAGTACTGCTAGTGAGTCTACTTCGGAAAATGAATCCTCTCAACTCCAAACTCCAACTCCTCTTTCTCCAACTAGCACAAACGTTGGTATTTTACATCAACAAATAGAAGATCTCGTAGCTGCTCTATCTCATCTTCAAAAGGAACATGTAGATATTACCGAACAATTAGTGACTATTAAAATGGAAAAGATGGACTTTATAACAGAAATTGAAACATTAAAATCGAAATTAAGAGGTTTAGAAAAAGAAAATAAAAGAATGTCAACTGATTCAATATATTCTATTGAATCTGCAACTACTTTAAATGATGAAAATTCTTCTGGTCGAACCACCAGAATTTCTTCACCGGTAACTCCAACTTTATCGAAAACTGAACTTTTTATCAAACAACGTGATACTTTAAATTCAAAAATTTCACAAACAAAACATCTATCCGAATTAACGCCTGATCAAAAATCGTCTTTAAATAATAATGATATTGATAATTGGTCGAATGAATTTAAAAAAGGTTTTGTGAATAATGATGTCACAATAACTGAAGAACTTGACCGAGTAAAGGAAGAAAAATGGGAATTAATTCAAGAAAATATAGAATTGGTTAAACGTGTTGAGGAATTAGAAGTTGCGATGGAAAATTCTACATTGACACAAAGTCAATTATTAGATAAAAATATCTTTTTAAGAGAAGAAATAGAACGACTTGACGAAGAAGCTACACAAGCATTATATGAACAAAGTACGATGGAAAATGATGTAAAAGAGGTGAAAAATCTAAGATCTGAAAATGCAAAACTTATTACTGAAAATGAAAGACTCAAAAAAGAACTTGAAGCTTTAAGACAAGGAACTAATTCCAGTGAAAAGGGTGAAACTCGTGAAATTAATTCAAATGAAAAGAGTGAATCCCGTGAAATTCGTGACATCCGTGAAATTACTACTAAACTTGCAAATACAAGACGTGTTTCGTTCTTGAGTTTCTTTGGTACTGATTCAAGTTCTAAACATAATTCAAAGAGAAGGAACACTGATCCATTTGCAGATTTACAAATTTCAGAATGTATTGGTGATTGTGCCTCGAAAAAACGTGCAGATAACGCGGAACAAATGTTAAATCATGTTAAAACTTTACTTGAACAAAGTGAATCGGCTAGGGAAGCTATGACCGTACAATTAGAAGAATTAAATAACTTGATAAATGGTTTCAGTGATATTTCAGATCTTGTAGCTTTTGAACCTGAGGAAATAGATTCCAAACCAAACCGTGCAAAACGATTTTCGACATTATCATTAGCATCTTTTTTTGGTAACGCATCATAACGTAAACGTGATAACGTGATGGAAATGTATAAATATTTTATTTATTTTTAAAACAACATTTGAAATGTTATTACAAATTTTTTAAAATTTTTTTATGTAGTTTTTTTTTTTATCAAAGGACAATACTGTATCTTTTTTTTTGGGTTAACTTTTTGGGGAAATTAACCGTTGCCCTTTTTTCATAAACATTATATATATTTTTTTTTTCAATATTGATTTTATGCACAAGGTTTTAAATTAAAGGAAATAGGATTATAGGTATGTAGGAATTTGTAAGAATATAAAGTGTAATAAATATATTTAAGACTGTTTTTTTCACTCTTACTGTATCCATAAAGTTGACTGGGTTTTTTTTTTTATCATTAATTTGAATATTGATATATTTTGATCTTTATGAAAGTACCAAGCTACGGTGAGATTGTGAACCTGTAAAAATTCGGGTGTTTTTCTCCATAAGCTTGTCATAAGTTCGAAATGCTTTCAAATCTGAATTTTTTTTAAAACTGATACGTATAAAACTTGTTTGTCATGCAAATTCTCGAAATAACGGGTATGGGTGTTATTTCAATTGTTTCCCTAAAATAGTAAAGTTTGCTTTGAGTACGTAACACCCATTCGCGCCCGAAATAACGTAACCTAAAACAATTTGCCACCAGCGTTAGGATTAAGGTTTGGATATTTTTACGTTACACCTGATCTTGGATTTTAAGTTGGCCTGATCGTAATACGTAGCGAAATTTTTTAGGGTGGTGACGGTTCTCAATACTAATTCTGCTCGTGTAACCTTTTAACTTTCATGATAAACTACTTGCCATGACAACCAAATTCCATCGTGAAGATTGATGCTCATGAACGTATTCGAAAAGCGCATAAACGTAGGTATTCAAAAGAACGCGCAGAAGCCCGTTATTTCGTGAATTTATGCGTTCTTTTCTTTCTACAATATTAATAGAAAAAATAATTATCGAATCATGAAATTAATTAATATCGAGATTGAAGCTAGGGATGGATAAAGTTGGAAGATTTTTTTTTTTTAGGATTTAGGTTAGAGTTTATAATAAAAGAGATTTTTAATCTTAAAATATGGAATTTTCGATTTTGAAACCAGAAATAGCATATACAAATTTTTTTTTAGATTCACTATTCCAATCAACTAATGACATAGTGAGGACAGTAAAAACGAAAATTGATGCCTAGTTTATTTTTTGATCATCACAATGACCAATAATTGTCAAATAACTTTGACGGGTTTAAATTCTTGTACAAGGTATAAAGTAAATGATCATAGGAGGACATTCATATGATTGGTTAATTTTTGTAGATCTGCCCGTGAATTCCCGTGATAATTAGCCAATCAAAATTGATAATTTTTAAAAAGATTTATCGTTTTAATACTACTAGAAAAC